ATTTTTAAATTTTATTTATAAATAAATAAATTATATATTTTATTAATTAAATATATTAAGGTCACAATTTCATATAATGTGGTCACAAATTCCATATAATTGGTTACAAATAATAAATTTTATGAAACAAATTATTTTACGATCACAATTCAAAAATTTTAGAGGTCACAATTTGTTTATCGGTCACAAATAAAAAATTGAAACGTTACAAATTATTTTACTGTCACAAAATTTTATAGGTCACAAATTATTTTACGGTCACAAATCAGAAATTTTATAAGTCACAAATTATTTTACGGTCACAATTCCAAAATTTTACAAATTATTTACAGTCACAAATCAGAAAATTTATAGGTCACAAATTATTTCGAGGTCACAAATTAAAAATTTTATATGTCACAATTTAATTCATTGGTCACGAATCAAAAAATTATACATCACAGTTTATCGATATGTCATATATTTCCAAATTTCTTGGTCACAAATTATTGAAAGTTAAGGTCACGGATTAATAATGAGTCAGGATGAACCAAAATGTCGATCTCATACACCAAACGCCCCACCCACCCCGTCCCGATCCTTCTCCAATATTTGGTCAAAAATCAATCAAATAATTGGTCACAAATACTATCCCACCCATGCCCTTGCCACAACACCAACCAAACCACGACTGTCGCCCCCATCACAACACCACCACAACTACCGCCACAATAATAAAAAAAAAAAACCACAACCATCTCCACCACCAACCACCCGCAACCGTCGCACCACCACCACCAACAGAAACATACCACCAACGCCATCGCCACAACCACCATCACGGGCATCACCGCCATCACCGCCACAACCCAAGATCAACTAATTGAGAAACCTAGGCACAGTTCCAACTGCATCTTCAATTTCTGGTCTCCTCCCACGCACATGTGAATCCCCAAAGCGGCACATAATCCACCTGAAAAACACTTCGACGGACTCTTTCACACGAGGTTCCGTCCAACTGAATAACAACTGTTGATTTAGAACCCGAACCATCTGGAACCTCTCCCCTAACTCCTTCCGCCACAGATAAAGAATTAACAATGATCTCACCAATAGTTGGCTCTCCCACACACAGATATGTTGCCTTTGCTATGATTTCATAATCACGCGAGCATCAATTAGCATCTGCAGTGGAGTTTTGAGAAACCTAGGCACAGTTACAACTGCATCTTCCATTTCTGGTCTCCTCCTACACACAGATGTGAATCCCCAAAGATCAACTAATTGAGTGTTTTACCTAACTACTAAAAACCTCCCAGAACCTTCTTCCCACACCAAATCCATCACTAAAGCTCCACCTTGAACCTCCCAAAATGCCACCCAAATGTAGTGGTTGTGTGCGAGAGAGCCTTTCTGGTAGTTGAGAGAGAGAGAGAGAGAGAGAGAAAATGGTATAAGGGATAGAGATTTAGGGTTGGTGGGAGTTGGAATTGAGTTTTATAAAATTAAATTATAATAAGATATCTGATATTTGAAATCAAATCTTAAAAAATATGGGTCAATGTAATTTCCACTTTTAAAATTTATTTTTTTAAATTTACTTTTAATATACATTATATGGATCCATGACTTTAATAAACTTAAATTGCAACTACTATCCCTAACCTTTAAATGATTTTACAATATTCCTAACCTTTCAGAGATTAGCAAATTCCATCTTTATTCAAAGTTTCCGTCCCCAACATTGTTGTTAAGTAGGCATAAGAAGACATACTTACCCGCAACTTAAAATAAACGAATAAAAACCAAAATGTAAAGATTGTACCTTTTTCCTTCAACAGACTCCCTCTCCTCATAAAAAGAAAAAGAAAATATGCGTAGGAAGCTGACGTGGCATTATCCATGGTCCATATGACACGAGAAGATAAATTCACGTAATGTACTGAAAGCGCGTTTGTAAAACCACGATTTGGCACCTCAGAGGATTACAGAACAAAAAGAGGAGATAAAACAGATTACAGCAAAAGATAAGAAAAGCAGGACTCTTCTCTTTTCTCCAGTTCGATTATGGCGCTTTGTTCTGCACAGACAACTGCATCGTGCTCATCTTCTTCATCAACATTATATTCTCTCTCTAGTTTTCAATCACTGAACCCATTGAATCCAATTCTCTTTTCCAATTCTTTGAGGCCAAAACCACATTTTTCACTGAGAAATAGGAGTGGCTACCGCAAATTGAGTGTAACTGCAACTGCCACTGTTGATTCTGGCAATGGAGCTGTTGTCATGGTATCTGAAAAGCAGGAGAAGAGTGAGAGTAGTTCCAGCAATCCCTATGGCAGGCAGTTTTTCCCTTTAGCTGCTGTTGTTGGCCAGGTTTCTCTATCTCTGCAAATTTAGTGAATGTATATGTAAATTTGTAGTTTGTAAAGAAGAATTGCTAATAATTACTGGGTTTAATTTTTTTATTTATTTACCTGATTCATTATAGAGGAGCAATGACCAGTGAAAATTGTCTTGATTTGTTTCCTTTTCAGAGCCAATGTATTGTTCTGCACTTGAGTGATTATATAAAAAAACAGTGTTAAAAAAGCGTAAAATAATGTTTTCTTATTTTAAATTAATCTAAAAATCATTTAATAATTAAAATAATACCTACTAAATATATAAAATTATAAAATGCTATATTCAGAGAGAGAGAGAGAGAATAAAAGCGCGCTTAGGTGTGAAAAAAAAAATTTAAAAAGCAAGAAAAAAAATAATAATAAAAGAGAGGCAGGGCGTTTTGCGCCTGCTTTGCCCCTAAGCGCCACTGTTTAGAACACTTGTAAAAAATCAACTGGATAGGCAACATGAAGCACTCTAAATTTGGGTTTTTTCATCTTAACATATAGGGTAAAAAATACTCTCGGTGTCCCAACTTTGAGCAAAGTGTTGTTTTGGTCATGCAACTGTATGCATTTTGTTTAAATTGGTCGTTACTGTTGCAATGTTGATTCATTCAGGTCACCAGCTTGGTCTTTGTTAGTTGAATTAATGGAAAACCTTAAGTAAATCATGGCATGGCAGTTGTGGGAAGATTTTACCATTACAGAGTGGCAAGAAAAACATTGTTGGTCACCCAACTTTAAGTAAAGTGTCATTTTGGGCACTTGATCATGGCATGGCTAATAGGGCATGTTTTTGCCATTGAAGGGCAATGTTGGTACTTCAAGTTATTTATCATCACTGTCGATATTTTTGAAGTCTTGATGTAAAGTTATTGCAGTAAACTAAGTACTTTTTATCTGTTCTTTCTTATTGTCAATATGGGTTTTCTATACAGGATGCTATTAAGACAGCTCTTTTACTTGGGGCAATAGACCGTGAGATAGGTGGAATTGCAATCTCTGGAAAGCGAGGAACGGCGAAAACAGTAATGGCACGTGGCTTACATGCAATTCTGCCACCGATTGAAGTTGTTGTTGGTTCAGTTTCGAATGCTGATCCAGCCTGCCCTGAAGAGTAAGGGTACTGAACTGAGATACACACACACACACACACGAACCCCAAAATAGCGTAACATATAATTGTTCACATTATTAAGCGTAAAAAATCTTTGTTGAACTCAATTTAGAGGTAATTCCTCGTCATGCTTCATAGATATTTCAGAATCCTTGTAACTGTTCCATCATCTGAATTCGTTAGACTGAGTGTGCAACTTTGAGTTATTTTCTTATCTTCACCAGAAAGGTAGAAATTTTGAAAAACCGAGAGATGTAATGAAGAGTTGCCATTTGGACATTGGCAAGTTTTCGAATTTTACATATACTTGGAAAGTGTTAACTGGAAGCAAAACTTTCAAACGGCAATAGGAATGTGAGGGAAAGAATAAAGAACCTTGATGGTGAACATGGACTGGTTGAGTTTATCATCTTGATGGATGCACTTAAGAGGCCGAATCAAATAGAAACTAGAAACCTGAAGCTTTGATTGATTACCATGACTTTGCATATTAATATTTTATCTGAAACAGCCGTAAACCCTATATATATTTCTTTATCTTTGATAAAAGGGCAGAATGGTAGCTCCTTTAGTCTAATATTCTGAGTTTATATGTTAGTCTCTACTCTTTCATTCAATACTCTAGTGGTTGAATATATCTTAAGTAGTTGTGAAAATGGACATGATTCTGGTTAAGGATAATGTGGAACAAGTTTTTAAATTAGGAGACCTAGGAAACATGGTTGCAGCCATAAACTAGATTGAGGCCTTCTTTGTCACCCATTTTATTTATGGTGTGCATGGATGCCTTAAAGAAAGAGTGATATTTCTGAGAATAAGTGTAATGCTTGTGTGTGTTAGAGTGACTAAGTAACAGTGGTCCAAAATCAACTTGGTATCTTGATTTACATAACAGGACAGCTCCATTAGACCTTAATGTACAACTAGAGTTGATGAATACTACTTTCAGTTGTATCCTGTTTTATAATTGAGCTTTGTGCATTCATTTTTATGATTTCATCTTCGCAATGCATCACTAGATGCTAGATGCTAAACATGTTGTTTTCTTTCTTCGTACTTCAAGCTATCTTGTTCGTTTATCACTTTCATATAGTAAATATTTGATAATGGTTGAAGGTGGGAAGATGGGCTTGCTGACAGAGTTGAGTATGACTCTGCTGGAAATGTTAAGACCCAAATAGTCAGATCGCCTTTTATTCAGGTAGTTTCGCCAAAGAAATTTTCTACATTAAATTTTCTTTTCTTTGTTAATCCCAAATGCACTTGTGCTGCAGATTCCACTCGGTGTCACAGAAGATAGATTAATAGGATCTGTTGATGTTGAGGAATCTGTAAAATCTGGAACAACTGTTTTCCAGCCAGGGCTTCTTGCAGAAGCTCATAGAGGGGTTTTATATGTTGATGAGATTAATCTTTTGGATGAGGGTATCAGTAACTTGCTCCTTAACGTCTTGACAGAGGGAGTCAACATTGTAGAAAGGGAGGGGATCAGCTTTCGGCACCCATGCAAGCCACTTTTAATTGCTACATATAATCCTGAAGAGGGTTCTGTGCGCGAACATCTACTGGATCGCGTAGCAATAAATTTAAGGTAAGACTAGCAATCAGCTTCTAAGCATGTATTTTTTATTGGCCCTTAATACGCAAATTCTTACTATTAGCCATTTGGTGCTTCGATGAACTAATTAATTATATAGCTCTTTTAAATACATCATATATATACTGTGGGCACCTGGTACCTTGATTGGATGCCAATACATGCTCGACACTTTCCAATATTTTGAAAATTTTGATTATTTTAAATATTTGCAATATTACAGTGCAAGTAATCTTGACATGTGGGTTTCAGAATGATGTTTAGTTTCAAAGTGTCCATTTGGAGCCAGCATCTCGTGAAATCAATTTTCCATAAAAAATAAAGGTACAAATTAAATATGAATTGAAAACTATATGGCATGTAAGGGAGCCAATAAAGCCAGATCCAAACTGTGGCATCAACTACATGATTCTGATTCTCCAATAAATTTGAAGTTGACCTAGACTTTCAATTCTGAGTAAAGGAATTCACGTTTTCAATTATACGACTTCCTTGATTTTACATTTAATTCTTATTCATTTCTTTTTGTTTTCATTTGTAATTCCATTTCCTATGGTGACACCATTCTTCTGCAGTGCAGATCTTCCAATGAGTTTTGAAGATCGTGTTGCAGCTGTTGAAATCGCGACGCGGTTTCAAGAAGGAAGTAGTAGTGTTATTAAAATGGTAGAGGAAGAAATGGACTACGCAAAAACTCAGGTAACTTTGGTATAATAACATGTGAAGCGGCAGTTATTTGGCTATCATACTGGATGCTATAAAATTTTTAGCAGTGAGATTCTACAGAAGTCACTGAAGTTCAAATTCCATTATCTCTAAATTGTAAAACTAGGAAGTTTGTGGCTTTCATTTGAGATCAAAACAGGGAAAATCATATCAGATGGATTGGGTAATCAGGTCTACATCATAGTCTTGCTATCTCTTCCTCTTTGTTGTGACTATCATATATCACCATTACAAAGTGCTTTCTAATACCAATATTCTCTGTTTCACAAGTAAATGTCCAGCATGCAAAGCTCACTTCTCATACCTTACACGGTACACCTTGTTTAGGTTCAATATAAACAATGAAACAACACGAAGTAAACTGAAGAAAATGAAAGCTTCTCTAGTTTTTATTTGCTCTCTCCTCCTCTTAGAAAGCTTATAATGTGATCTTAATGATGCGCCAGTTGTAGCCTATTTACAATTCTCACAATAACTATTAGTGGATAAAATTAAGCTGAGCATCGCTTACACTGGCATCTCAAATACTTTCTTATGAAAGTTCCAAGAGTGCTAATATATTTTGAAATTTGTTCTAATGTTTTGAGGGGATATTATTTATTTTACTTTTTGCAGTCTTTTAGCTGAAACTGCACGTGAATAAATCTCTTCGGTGCTTGATTTGTTTGACTACAATGTATTTCATTTCCATAATGGCAAATATTATGTTTGTTGTTACGTGTAATACTTGAATAACAATGGTTTTTTAGTTTATTTCCTGTAGATAATTTTGGCAAGGGAATATCTGAAGGATGTAAGTATCAGCAGAGAGCAACTAAAATACCTTGTTATGGAAGCCCTTCGAGGTGGTTGCCAGGTTCTTAATCTGAAACTCTCCCCAATTTCTGTTAAAATGAGCTTCAGTTTGATTGATGTTTATGTAGCAGGTTATGTATGAAATGGAGTGAAAAAGAATCACACTTTCCAGTTCATGAGAGACTCCTTGCCATTATTTTCCTCTGCGTGTATCCCACTTTTTTTTTTTATTAAATTTTCTAGGTGGGGTTTGGAGAAAATGTGTCTGACATGTTTTTGATGTCATAAATGGAGTTGAAAATAAATCGAAACTCTGTTTTTTTTTATTTTCTTATATGCAAAATTTTGGTATATGGATGAACTAAGAAATTCATGTAGTTGATTTTCACCTGTGTATTTCGTTGTGAGGGTCATCTGATGACTCAAGCCACCTAAGCATATTTAAGCTACACTATGCAATCCATAAAGAAGGGATACAGCAGTGTCCCAGTTCTTTGTGATACCTTATTTCACATCAAATATATAACAGAAAAAAGTTCTGGGAATTTGAATTTGATGAATTAGAGTATTCTGAATGCTTTTATATTTTTGAACTCCTTATATAATTTATTTGAAGAGCTGTTTTGAAATCTCAGGGGCACCGAGCTGAATTATATGCTGCACGCGTTGCCAAATGTTTAGCTGCACTTGAGGGACGTGATAAAGTCAATGTGGATGACCTGAAGAAAGCTGTTAAGTACCGTATTGCATGTACTCCTGACTTATTGCTTGAGATTTTCTAGCTGTAGTAAAGCTATTCCACGAGGATCTGCATAAACCAATGTATCTTGTTAGCATGTGTTAAATATTCCATGATAGTTCACCATAGTCAGTAGTGGTCTTCCATTAATTTTGGATATGGGAAGCATTAAAGAAATCCAGATTTTAGAAGACATGCGCTGTCTACTTCCAACAAAATAACTATTTACGTTATGTGAATAAAAAAAGTCAGCAAATAACTAGTTACACAATGTAACTAAAATATTGTGCCGTAATCCAACTTTAGAATATGTCATGATGCAGAATAGTAGATGGGGATTTATTTGCTCAAAGCCACCACTGATGAAAAAATCCTGCTGCGACTTGATAGTTGTTTCTCTATCTTCAAGGTAACAAAATTCTTGTTTAGGATAACAAACTTATTGAACCCTTCTAAGTTTATTAATAAATTAGGAGGTTGTGGTTGAAACTGGAATCCTAGTGTTTTTGAGGTGCGTCATAAATTAGAAGATCAAGGTTTTAGACGAACTTTGGTTGCCTTGAAGTGCATGCACCGAAGGCAGCTTAAGACCACATGTAGATTTAAGGATGATTTAAGCGACTGCTAAAATGTTAATGTATATTGAATTTTCTGATAATTTTGATGTTCAAGTTCTCTAGAATGTATAAGTTACTGTTTCTTAGTATGTGTAAAGCCAATGAAGACCTGGAAAAGAGTTAATAAGATAATATATGTAGTTCTCTGGAATCCAGTGAGTTCTTAATAGTGCTACAGCCGTTTCAAGCATTGTCTCTGAGACAATATGACATGCATCGATTTAGTATTAGGCTTCATTTCCAAGTTGTATCTAGTTTGGACTGGTTTTGATGATGTCCTGATAATGCACTTAAACAGGTAGAGTTGGTCATCCTTCCGCGCTCCATCATTAATGAAAGCCCACCTGACCAGCAAAACCAGCAGCCACCTCCACCTCCTCCTCCCCAAAATCAAGATTCTGCAGAAGAACAGAATGAGGAAGAAGATAAAAATGAAGAGGTTCATTTGCTTGTTCTCAACTCCATGTTGTTTTAAAAGGCTGTCTTACTTGTAAATGCTTTTTCTACTATATATATGTTACTTTCCGACTCTTAGCTTGGTTTTCCTAATGCAAAATATTTAAATTATCAAAAAATGAAATCCTATTTTAAGAGGATTTTTTCCCCAAAATTTGCACCCTTTATGGACAGAACGTTCACCTGATAACAGGATGATAACAATGACGAGAATGAGCAGCAACAGGAACAGATACCTGAAGAGTTCATCTTTGATGCTGAAGGTGGTCTGGTGGATGAGAAACTTCTCTTCTTTGCACAACAGGCACAAAGACGCAAAGGAAAAGCTGGGAGAGCAAAGAATGTTATATTTTCTGAGGATAGAGGACGATATATTAAACCGATGCTTCCGAAGGTTGCATCCTTAATTTATTGTATCTTCCCTCTAGCTACTAAATATATCTGCTCACTCACTATCGTCAAACTTATTTCTTTTACCTTTATTTATTTAGTTTTTGCCTTTTCGTGTCTTTGCTTATATGAAAGTTAGCCTCATTCTAAAGGCATCCTTTTTCATTTCAACTTCTCTTTGATTATAATCAGGGTCCTGTAAAGAGATTGGCTGTTGATGCAACTCTACGAGCAGCTGCACCATATCAAAAGTTAAGAAGGGAGAGGGATATTCAAAAGACTAGGAAAGTGTTTGTGGAAAAAACAGACATGAGAGCAAAAAGAATGGCTCGAAAAGCAGGAGCTCTGGTAGAGTATTTATATTGACGTTCAATTTTTTATTTCGTCTCTAACTTCTCTTCTCCCAAATCCTATAGAAACTTTCTTGATATCTCCATCATTTTCTTGCTTCTAAACCTGTTTGCATAATTGTGATGGAAGAGTTCATTAAAATTTCAATAGATAAATACCCAAATATTAATCATCCCAAAGAAAATAGAAAGAATTAATCATGAGGTATTCAGAATCTGTAGTGTTTCTATATGCTGGTCACTACCAGACTCTTCTGTTACGTGACAGTGAGAACAGTTCAATACAAGTGTTTGTAATTGGGAACAACTACAAATACTGATGTTGATGCTACTTGAAGATGAGCTATGAATCAATGACAAAAAATTGTGGTTTATGATTTGAATTGTTTGAAATAATAGTATATTCTTTGATACTCAGTGGGATGTGAATTTAACGGTTGATAAAGGAGATCAGTTTTTAGTAGAAAACTATAAATCCTGACACTGTTAATTTTCACCAACTCCTCCAATTCATGACAGGTTATATTTGTGGTCGATGCTAGTGGGAGCATGGCATTGAACAGAATGCAAAATGCGAAGGGCGCAGCACTTAAATTACTTGCTGAGAGTTATACAAGCAGAGATCAGGTGCAGTTTCAATGAGTTCTGTTATTTCAAATTTGGCTACTAGAGAGTCTTATCTGTTCGCCTGTCTCTTGATTTTTTAACCATTACAATAACCAGTCTGGGGATAATAGACCAACAACCTTGGATTTTGATGAAGAGTGATTAGATTCTTGTAGAAGAAAAAAAAATTGTCTCACAACAGATTACTTTATGACACAAAATTGGTGCTAAGACTTTTGGATGCTGTATCTTGCTTGGTTAATAGTTCACAGATGTCAAAATTGAATAGCTTGTTCACTTTTGGTGCCACACTGGATGGATGATATATTTTTTCTCTTACAAACGATCCTGGTCTATATTAAATCCTATCCAATATGCAGGGGCGGTACCAGATAGAGTAAAAACACTTCCACTATCTATTCAATCCCATTTACCAAATGTGGGATATATGTTTTACAACCTGGAGACCATCACATGTCAGTTTCTAGTGTGGGAATTGGGCTATTTAATCATAGGTCTAGGAAGATCCCAAAAACACTGCTCTTCTTTGTAGCGGTGAGAGATAATCACTGTTAAGGACCAAAGGAGAACTACCATTCATGTGACTATGCAATGGATAAAAAATAAATAATAGTTTCGAGTAGATGGAAAATTTAGGACTCGTGGTTTATGCACATTGCTTAGCGTTTGCCCCGGGGATTTATTTCATTTTGTAAGCACCCAACCTTTAATCCTCAGTGATACTTATTTCAATTGTCCAGTGCTTATCCAAATCTGAAATTCATCAAACTTCTACATTTTGGATACATGGAATTCACAAAATAATGATGTTTTTCTTCTTTTCTTTTCTTCATAATACTGCAAAATCTAATATAACCTATGCAAATTGGCTTACAATATTGTTTAGAAAAGTTGAACACGATACAAACTAAGGTACTGTTAAGTTGGTTTCCCAGAACCTGTTTTCTCATTTCCTGAAATCTTGAGGGAATTGAAAACCCCGGTTAAAGTTTGATTAATGTCATTATCCCCCCTTTGATCCATCCCTTGGTTTGATGGAGTTCCTATCAACATTCGATATTTTAGAAGTTGTTTGTTCTTATGATCTATGAAAAATGCCTCAGAGAATGCACAAGATGCACTCTCCCTGCATCCCCTCTACCAAGTAAATGTTAAGTAGATAGGAAAAATGAACTTATTTTTCTTATTCTCATTGATGATTTCTTAATAGGTTGCTATCATTCCCTTCCGAGGAGATGCTGCAGAAGTTCTCTTGCCTCCTTCCAGGTCAATTTCTATGGCAAGAAAACGTCTCGAGAGACTCCCATGTGGTGGTGGTTCTCCCCTTGCCCATGGTCTTACCACGGTATGCATCAGTTTTGACTGTTACTGGCATGATAATTACTATTTCTATTCTAAAATGTTCCCTCAAATTGTGGCCCATGACTTTCACTTATGTACTACTAATAGAACTGTTGTGTAACTTTTGCTTGGTTTCTTATTATAGCATAAATACCCTTTTCCTTTAAAGGGGGACAAATTTCACGCTTTCTCAAGCAAATTTCTTTCTTTATTTTGTTTTGTTAATAAAAATTTCATAAATGAAGATAAAGGGGAAATTTCCTTATATAAGACCAGCCGTATACAAATTTCGCGCTTTCTCAAGCAAATTTCTTTCTTTAATTAAGATGAAGTATTGCTACTGTTTTCCCTTCCACAAGTCATGAATTCATACTGCAAAATTTTTGGCTTCTCATGATGAATATGGTCATTTACTTAAGTTTTTATGTATTTCTTTCTTATGCACGACAAAAAGAGCAACACAAAGCCAATTAGTCTACTTTTTTAGAATATATCAGGATTTCAGAAAAACAAATTTCTATTCTATTTGCTGACGATTCTAACATGAATATGCCTAGGCTGTTAGAGTCGGAATGAATGCAGAGAAGAGTGGTGATGTTGGACGAATAATGATTGTTGCCATAACTGATGGCAGAGCAAACATATCACTGAAAAGATCCACTGATCCTGAGGCTGCTGCTTCGGATGCACCCCGACCCTCTGCTCAAGAATTGAAGGTAAAACTCCTGGAACATGAAACCATTGTTAGTTCTTCATCTGATGTTACGAGTGATCTGTCTGAACATTTTCGAAAAATTACTTGAATTAGAATGGTAACAAACCCTGATGATTCAACTTTCTACACAAAAATTTTTAGTTGCAAGAATTGTACTGTCTTCATGTGTCAGTTTTGTCTCGATGCCTCTCAATTGAGAGTTTCTTCTCATTAAATAGGAATTGTTTCCCTAATTACAGCCTATACATCTTCTATCAAATCTCCTAATTACAACACTTTGCTAATCAAAGCCAAAACATCTTCTCCTAATTACAATCCGTTATCCCATATTCTATATTTACAACGTAAAAAAAGGAATGTAATTATATACATGGTATGGTGACTAATTTGTGATACACTAACATCCCCCCTCAAATTGATGTTGGTCGATCAATAATCATCAATTTTTCAACCATGAACTAATTTCGAAGGCGATCGAGAGCTTTGGTGAATATGTCGCGGTCTGAAGATCTATAGATATGTGAGGAAGTGTAATCACTTGTTGATCAAATGCTTCTTGAATTGAGTGACAATCAACTTCAATGTACTTGGTATGCTTATGGAATACCGGATTAGCGACAATCTGAACAACGATTGTCTTGTCAGCATGAAGGGGAGTATGAGTAAGCTATGGAAAACCAAGTTCACCTAGCAGACCTCAAAGCTACACAATCTCAGAGCAGGCGGAGGACATAGCCAGATATTTAGACTTGGTGGGAGACTTTGAGACACGATCTTGCTTCTTACTCTTTCCAGAGATAAGAGCATTACCAAGAAACATGCACCAACCCGTAATCAAATGTTTGAGTATCCGTGGAACCAGCCCAATTAGCATCAATAAAACCAATCAATTGTAGAAAAGTCCAAGTAAGAAAGAATAAACCTCGACTAGAAGTACCCTTTAGATAACGAAGAATACGTTGCACAATGGCTAGGTGAGAATGTCTAGGAGCCTGCGTAAACTAACTTGCTAGATTGCAAAAGATATATTAGGCCCGGTAATTGTCAAATAATTCAAACTCCCGACCAATTGTCAACAGAGTGAAGGATCTGCTAAAAGTTCTCCCTCTGTTTGGCAAAGTTTTAAATTTACCTCCATAGGCGTGTGAACAGGGTTGCTTGACTGAAGCCCAGTGGAACCAATAATCTTTTGTGTATATTTGTGCTGATGTAATAACCTTCAAGACCAAGAAAATACTACAATAGGCCAAGATCTTTCATGTAGGGATGTTAACGTACCGAGCCGGAACTCAAAGCTCAAGCTCGGGCTCGGGCTAGGCTCGTGTAAAAAAGGTTCAAGCTTTTTTTGCCAGAGCCTAGCTTTTGCTCGGCCAAAAAATCTAGGCTCGGGCCTTATCGAGCCGAGCTTGCTCGTATTTTTTAGTTTTGTTAAAAAATAAATAAATAAAAGACAACCCCGTAGCTACCTGCTATTTGGTATTGCAGGCAACTACTATAGCTGCCAAAGCTTTTTTTTTATAAATTAATGACGCTCCAAAATGGGGCTCGGCCTGAGCTTGAACCGACCCGCTTGTTAGGCCGACTTGAGTTTTTTTGGGGCCGAGCCAACGAGCCGAATTGACACTCCTACTTTCATGTGAAAGGAATTTCCAAGATGCTGATGTACTTCTTCAATTATTTGTAGATCAGAACCTATAATGACAATATCATCAACATACACTAGAAGAATTACAATCCCAATAGCAATCTTTGGAGAGAAATGAATCAAATTAACTCTAAATAAAAGTAAAAATCAAGCAAAGTGTTGCGAAATTTCTCAAACAATGCTTGGGGTGCCTAGTTTAACCTATATAGTGATCGTTTCAAACAACAAACCTCGGAGGAATGGATGAACAAGCCAGAAGGAGGAGTCATGTATACTTCTTTTAGATCCCCATGTAGAAAAGCATTCTTAACATCCATCTGTCGAAGAGACCATCCTTGAGATGTAGCGATGGCAATGATAATGCATACTAGTCATCTTAGCCACCGGTGCAAAAGTCTCTTCATAGTCGAGGCCATATTCCTGTCTTTTTCCAATTGTTACAAGACGTGCCTTATGTCGTTAAATGGAACCATTAGCACGTAGCTTCTTTGTGTAAACCCAATTGCCTCCAATTACTTTCACCCCATTTGGACAACGAACAATGGCCCAAGTATGATTATCCTGAAGAGTCCGAAGTTCTTCATTCATAGCTTGCTTCGAGCATGCTTGACTAGCAGCCTGAGAGTATGATTTTGGGATAAAAGTAATATCAATAGCGGCCTAGAGTGCAGTATGTGAGAAACCATACTTATCTAAAGGATGAGTGACACGATTGGAGCTTCTTAGTTCAGGCTCTGGATAGCTAGGAGCTGGTTCGAGATCAAATGTTGGTTCGAGATTGGGCGCTGAAAGTAGTAGGGGACGTCTTTGATGCACAATTCTTGGTTTAAAACGTTCAATATGATAAGGCTCAACATCAAAGGCAAGAAGAATGGCAGAAGTAGAGTCGGAGTGATATAAAATATTGGTTTTGGAAGAAAACCACATTTCTAGAGACACGTACCTTATTAGCATTCGCATCGTAACATACAAACCCCTTATGTGTAGGACTGTATCCCATGAAAGCACATTGAGTTGATTGAGCTGTAAGTTTGTGATGTTCAGTGATTGGCAAATGAACAAAGCAGACACAACCAAAAGTATGTAAAGAATGATAGTCGGGAATATCACCAAACAAACGAGAGTAGGGAGAGTCATAGTCCAACGTTCAAGAAGGCAAACGATTAATCAAATATACAGCCGTAGATAAAGTTTCGACCCAAAACTTAGAAGGATGAGCTAATGCTGTGTAAGCAAAAGAAATAGTACTAGGAATGGAAAATTGGAGAGGAAACAAATGTCCTACTTTAGACTCCTTCGTGATCACTTTCCCTAATGCTTGATCCTGCACAAAACAACCATCATGCCCAAAATGAACTTCACAATTATTATCCACTAATTGTCCAACAGAAATCAAACTTGTAGATAAATCAAGAGATATAAACACGTTAAATGATGGCTCCAAGTAGGGCTGTCCATAGGTCGGTTCGGTCCGGTTCTGAAGATACCCGAACCGACCCAAAACTTTCGGGTATTTAATAAATGGACCCGTCGGGTCCAAATATAATTATGGAACCGTTCGGGTTCGGTTCCGTTCGGGTCGGTTCGGTTCCGTTCGGTTCCGTACCATAATTAAATTTTTTAATATTTTCAGCAACACTACATAAATACAATTAATAACATTTCATTCGTAACTTTTACAAATTAACGTAGCCCAATTCAAAAAAATATACAAAACTAGCCGTCCAATAAGATTAA